TTTCCTTTTTTATAAACCATTATTAATGCTCAGTATACCCTAGGTTTTCCTACCTGGCTATCTATAAAGCAGTTTCAGCTAGATGCTGATATTACCTTACTATTTTTTATCAAGTGACTGCCAGATTGGCCTCTGTTTTACTTCCTGGAAGCCCTTTTCACCTCTCATCCTACCATAGTACTGCTTCTCTATCAGCAAAGATAATTTATAAAAAATGCTTACTTGTCCTTCAAGGCCTACTTAAAATATCACCTCATTATTGAAGCCTTTGCAAGACTTTTGGAAGACATAGAACACACAGATATAGGTGGGGAATGGTAGGTATTTCAGGCAAAGTGTTCTATATGATAAAATGTTTGAGGGCATTTAAAAGTCTATAGCATATCTGGGAAACAGCAAGTGTAGTATGGGGCAAACATATGGTACATTTGGGAGAATAACAGGCTCAAAGGCCAGAATATTTAGTTAAGGCCACAATGAAAAAGTTAGCAATGGGTCACGGGCATAGTTGTTTTTTTCTGGAGATGGAGTTTCATTCTTACTGCCCAGGCTGGAGTACAATGGTATGATCTCTGCTCACTGCAACCTCTACCTCCCGGGTTCAAGCGATTCTCCTGCCTCAGCCTACCAAGTAGCTGGGATTACAGGCATGCACCACCACACCCAGCTAATTTTGTATTTTCACTAGAGACAGGGTTTCTCCATGTTGGTCAGGCTGGTCTCGAACTCCTGACCTCAGGTGATCTGTCCACCTCGGACTCCCAAAGTGCTGGGATTACAGGCATGAGCCACCATGCACAGCCCATGAGATTTTTAATGATGATAATATATTAGAATTTGATCTACTTTTAAGGATAACTGACAACAGTGTAGGACATTTGTCTGCAAAGAAAGAACATGTCAGTATGGGGTACTAATTAGGAAATTGTTGAAATAATATTGGTGGGAGAAGATAAAGGCAGTGGAAGTAGAATGTGTTAGATTCACAGTCAGTACTATATTTTGTAATAAGACTTGATGACTGACTGAATGCAGGGGACAAAAAAATAATGAAGTGTTGAGAAAAATTAAAAATTGGGTAGAAGATGATAACTCTATAACCAAAAATAGGAAACACAGGAAGAAGAGGAAACTTAGGGAAAATCAGGTTAACAGAAAGAGAGAATCAGCTAAGTTTTAATATAAAAGGAGACACAGCTTAGTAGGTAAAGCAAGTAATCTACAGCCAGACTCCCTGGTGTGTTATCTGGGCTTTGACCACTATTCACACTGTGGCCCTAGGAAAGTTATTTAACCTCTATGAGCCTCAGTTGAATTATCTACAAAATGGGAATAGTACTTCTATCTCTTTCATACAATTGCTGTGAGGTTTAAGTGAGTTAACATATGTAAAGTATTTAAACATTTTCTGGTATATGGGTTATAAATGCTATTTTTGATTTCTTAATTTTATAATCTCAGTCACTGAGCTGGATGTATAAATCTGGAGAATCACTACCACAGTTGATTTGTAAAACTAGAGAAGCAACTGAGAATACTCATGGTCAAAAAATTTTTTTAAAAGTTTGTGTCCCAGTGTATATACATGTACATGTAGATATATGTATGTGCATACGAATATATGTATATAAAATGATACTAAAAGAGGACCAAGGATAGAACATAGGGAACAAAATACCCAGGATGTAAGAGGAGAAGAAACACATTAGAAAGACGGGGAAAAAAAAAAAAACCACCATAAAGGTACTCAGAGAAAAAAGGAGAGAATGGTGCCTAGAAAGCCAAGGCAAGTAAAATTTTGAAGGAGGTAGGTGATCAATAGCGCCAAGTGATCAGGATTGGAAAGAGGCCATTGGATTTTGAAATTAGAGGCTCACTGTAAATCTTTTTGAGAACTGTAAGAAAGTTGAGTTGTAAAGGTAATTTAGAAAACATAGAAAACAAGTATGGATTATTCTTTAGAGGCATGGACTTTAAAATGAAAAGGGGAGACAAGAGGCTCGTTAGAAGGGTAAGTCAGATCAAAAGAAGCTGCTGGTGTATAATCTGGGCTTTACAGAAGAGACCGGAGAATGCTACTAAGCTGAAGGTAGGTCAATGAAGAGAGAGTGTATGAAGATATGCGATATATCTTCCACCTATTTCTTGAACTCCTGAAGATAATGAAAATCCCCATCACAGGTACAAAACTTCACTTTAAAGGTAAGCTAGGAAAAAAATCTGTGAGAAGTTAATAACCTTTTTTAAAAACCCCAAAAAGGGGGGGAAATGTATATAGTTGTTATTTAAAAAAATAATTAGTCCTGTATTTTAACAAAATTACTTCCTGAGACTGTAATAACATTTTGGGAAGTCTCAGGATACTACAGAAATAGAAAAGTAGTTCTGCTAAAATACAACACTAATTGTATTTTTTAAACAACAGATTTAAACTTTTGGTTTTTTGTTTCTGTATTCTGAATATAGTTGTGAACTTTTACAGAATATCTTTTCATTCACATTAAATAGTCTAAATAAACAAACTCATTTCACAATTCTTGTGAGAGTACTAGACTCTGTATATAACAAATTACTAATTTTTGTAGCTCATTAAAATGTGAAATTTTAAATTGTGGTGTGCATATGTTTGCATCTATAATCAGTATTCAACAGTTTTTTGAACACTTAACAAGATGTCTGTGATTCTTCCATATGTTACTTGTTAACAACTTGTTATTTTATCATTCCATTCTGTCCAGCTTCCTGAAGGCTAGCAAGTATCTTTCCCATCTTATTGTTTGGGGTGAACTACTCATTGGCAGAGGTGTCCCTTGAAAGTATAGGCAATGCAGTATTTAAATTCTGGCATCACAAAGACCTGGGTTCAAATTACAGCTCTATTCCTTAACAGCTGTGTGATTTTTGAGTGCCTTCCAGCAATTCAATTCCCTGATCAGTAAACCAGAGTTTACTGATATAACTCACAGAGTTGTGGCTACAAATTTATTTAAGGAAGATTTAAAAAATATATCAATGTTTTTGGCCCAAGTATGACAAACTGAGTATGAAATTTAGTCGTCAAAAAATTCAAGGTCGTCAAAAAAAGGCAGTTTTCCACCTTTCAGTAGAGGTATGAAATTTTATCAAGATTAAATTTTATAAGAAAAAAGTATTATAAAAAGGAAAACACTGCTAAAAAAAATCCTAATTTCTGAAATATGTAATATGATCCCAGAACTTTTGGAAGCTGAGGCAGGCAGATTACCTGAAGTCGAGTTCAAGACCAGCCTGGCCAACATGGCAAAACCTCGTCTCTACTGCAAATACAAAAATCAGCCAGGCGTGGTGGTGTGCACCTGTAATCCCAGCTACTTAGCAGGCTGAGGCAAGGAGAATTGCTTTGAGAGCTGTAGGTTGCAGAGAGTGGAGATCGCACCACTGCATTCTAGCCTGAGCAACTGAGCAAGACTCCATCTCAAAAATTAATTAAATAAATAAGTAATATATTTGACAGAAAAGTACACCATAAAAGTTGATCCAAAATGTTTAGTATCATTGGAGTATAAGTCATGATTAACAAAGATCCTTGAATATTTGGAGAAGAATTACAATTTTGTTACATTACAGATTCTCTTTTTTTTTTTTTTTTTTTTTGAGACGGAGTTTCGCTCTTGTTACCCAGGCTGGAGTGCAATGGCGCGATCTCGGCTCACCGCAACCTCCGCCTCCCGGGTTCAGGCAATTCTCCTGCCTCAGCCTCCTGAGTAGCTGGGATTACAGGCACGCGCCACAAAGCCCAGCTAATTTTTTGTATCTTTAGTAGAGACGGGGTTTCACCATGTTGACCAGGATGGTCTCGATCTCTTGACCTCGTGATCCACCCGCCTCGGCCTCCCAAAGTGCTGGGGTTGCAGGCTTGAGCCACCGCGCCCGGCCTACAGATTCTCTTTAGACAAGCCAATTCATCTATCTTTTGCCGTTTCAAATTCTGGCAAACAAAGATACAAATACTACAGAATATATAAAAAAGGAGAAAATTAATTGTGTTTGTTTCACATCAAGCAAGAAATTTTAATACTTAAACATTCAATACTGATAACATTAAATGTAGAAACTACCTTCTCTTTGTTGAATGACAATACGAAAATTAAAAACAAATTTTAGAGACTTTTCCACGGTACATTAAATGGTATATAAAAGAGAGATTAGCAGAGACCAAAAACCTGGAATCAAATTCCAATTGTACCACTTAAAAACTGTGTCACGTTAGACCAGTTATTTAATCTCATTCAGCTTATTCATCCCATAAGCAAAACAAAGATGATACTATAGTAATAGCTACATATCTAGGTTGTTTTTAGAATTAAATCAAATAATATATGAAATTAACATGTTTAGTGCAGGATCTCATACCATAAATATAGGCAATAAACATGCATTCTCATTCCTCAAGAACTGAGTTATCATTCATAAAATGGATCATTTCCTGAAACCATGTAAGAAAAGACAGTGAGATTTGTCATTTTCTAAAGAAGGCATTTAGTAAGTGGTGTCTAAATAGGGCTATGAAATGGACACGAACCTAAGAACTGCAATTTAATCCCTTCTATTCTGGTGAGTCAGACCTTTGAGTGTTGTCTGAATGGCACAAAGAAAGACGTGTTTAATTGTCTTAAATTTCTACAAGTCCACAGACTTCATTAACACATGTTAGGACAATGGCATTGGCTGAACTACTTGCCCTTTTGTCTGATTATTGCTAAGGGTTCAATTTCCCTGGTCTATTATATTAATTACTAAATTCCTGTCCAAATATCAATGAGTCATAACTGCCATATTTATAATACTTCCAAAGTATCTGTCGGAATTAAAAAAAAATGTAATTCTCACAAACAAGAAACAGAAAAATTTTAGTTTTACATTTCATACTATTTAAATGTCAGCTAAGATGGAGTTGATGTCATACAAAATGAGTACTCTAAATATAACTCTAGAAGCAATTTAAGACAAAACGAACTCACCTGTAATTGCAAGGCTTCCTGATTTTCCAAACCTTCCACAATCGGTGAAAATCGTTCCCTGTTATTTCTTTCTGCTGCCGTTGTTATAGCCCCTAAAAGTTTATCTAGACTGTAGAGAAAAAAGAAGAAACAGAAATGAGAAATACTTCTTATACACACACTATAAGCATGGGTTCTTTCAGTATTCCCTGCTTTCTTTCTGGTATTTGATGTTTATATATACTATGATAATTTTTTAAAATTATCATTTACTTTTTTAATTGATGAAAAGTGTATGTTTTCAAATATGTATACATAGTGGAATGGCTAAATCTAGCTAATTAACACATATTGCCTCACGTAGTTACATTTTTTTGTGGTATGAACACTTAAAGTGTTATTAACTATAGTCACTATGGCGTAAAATAGATTTCTTGAACTGATTCCTCTGGTCTAAATGAAAGACCATTACAATATAAGAACTGTGTTTCTGTCTGCATATTTCTTTAAGTCCAATACTGATAGATGTAAATAATTTTAGGGCATCAAAAGGAAAATTCGATTTTAAAAATTCTAAAGAAAGTAACTTTACTGGGTGACATTTTGTAAAGAATACTAAGCGATAAACATTAAAATTTAAATTTTCAGGTTTTGATATTTCATGTGTTAACTTTAATATCACTTAAACATAATATGGCACCTATAATTGTTAACAGTTAATTAGAACATAAGCAGATTGTAATTTTATAATAAAGTTCTAGACAGAGTGATTATTTTTTAAATAATTTTTTAAATCAACATTTTTTGAAAATGAAAAAAGAAAAAAGACTCTAAAAAGGAAAGCCCAGGTAATTAAAGAAGAATGTATAATTATCTAGCACAAGAAACTTATTAACCTGACCAAAAATATTGTTAAGTAATGCTACACAGTGCCTAAAACAAATTAACCTCTATGTAGTATACTACTCTTACCAAATTATATCTGAAATTATAGTTAAATCATAATAGTTATACTGGACTAGACTGTATTTAATGAATACTGAAAATCTAAGTGATTAAAAATATTTCTTACACAGGTGTAAACTGAGATTTAAAACAATAAAATCTAAGGATCCTTGCTTTTGCATATGTTATCTCATTCTCAGCTTGTTTTCATTGAGTGAGACTTAGTATTTTTCTTTAGTGTTTGTCTTTTGGTTTCTGAGGACAGTAGCTAACACTAAGCAACATCTCATTTTATGCTAGCAATTATAAGAAAGTCAACATATCGCATAGTGCAGGTCCTTAGCAGATATTTGATTCTTTATCACAATGGTTTCTTACAAACTAGACTTACTAATGTCATCAAATCTGAAAGTTTACTTCTGATTCAATATTATTTCCATAAGAAGATATGATAAAATGCATGTTCTGCAACAACTTGCTGCATTTGGTAGCACTTATACACTTTGAATAATTATGAACAACCTATTTTTGCTTTCAACAGGTTGGTTTATTTCACTCTACAAATAATTACTTCATCTTTTCATTGACCATGGCATATAAAGTAAAATACTATTATAAGATAATAATGCAAAACAAAGGCATCTATTCAAATTGTGTGATATGCAGTACAGTGTTTGTGTATATATGTGTGTGTATTTGCCAAAATAACTCTCTGACTTTTGTCCACTTTCTAATGATTGCTGTACTTCCAGCAAAACAAAATTCTACTCAATCACTATGAATCAAATTTCCAAGAACTTCCCACTAGGATTCTATCTATTTAAACTTAGTTTTCATAATATCAACAAAAAAGCCAAAATATAAACAGACAAGATAAAACTGTCAATCAAAAATTATCTAAAATACTGTTTTCATGAAAGTTATCCAAAGAAGTAGGACAAAAGTAGAATTTATTAATTTCTCAAATGTCATTTTCCATGCAGCAAATATAATAATATAGCAATACTTACATGTTCTCTTCTCCAACAATGCAAATAGCAGAAAGTATTTTTACTATTTCAGTCATCATGTTGGGTTGTTTGGGGTCAATTGCTCTTGCCAATAGTAAAAGACTTCTTTCATCTCCTAGAATCCTCTGTAATCCAAACTAAAAAAAAAAAAAAAAAAAGAACCATCATTCAAAATGTCTAAGGAATATATCTTTAATTTAAAAAAGCAACTTACAATGATCTTTCAAAAATCCATACCCCCACAATAAGGTTCTACCTAATTATATGAATATTATTCAAATGCAGATATCTGTCTTTGTTTTTTATTTAAAATGACTGCATCTTGGAGTTGTTGCTCCTTGATCAGATATGATCTCCATTAGCCTGCCCTAAAAATTCCATAAATTTGGAGAAATATGGGAACAATCAGTATTTCTTCAACAAAGAATAACATGTAAAGCACATACTGATATGATTTTCTAAAGTAATTCTACTTATGTCATTGGGTCTCCCTGGAGATGTCTGGAATTCATGGCTAAATTGTCCAATATGTTTGTATGAAAAATTAAGGTGAAGAAAAAGAGAAAAATGTTTTTTTTTTAAAAAGGCTCTTTTGAATACTATATGCCAGTATAAGCCTCAGTATGGGTATTCCCATGCCTTCTGTCTCTTATCCTCCCTGATTCAGACAGCTGTGCTACACTACAAAAGCTGTGAACCTAAAGATATGGCACCTGTGTTTTATTAAATGTCACAAGTCAACTAAAGAGAGAAAACATCATCTTCATTTATTTTCTAAGTATGAATACCTGTGTGTATGCATGTGCATGCATGAATAAGTAAAGAAATTCTAATGAAAGTCTAAAACTTGAGTATTTATTACATTAAGAAGACAACTTATTCTTTGATCTTTGTCCCACAAAGTATTTTTGTGATTTTTTATCAAATATTTTTGCTTTATTTTACAGTCTAATAGTGAAATTGGATATTTCATTGAAGCAGATTTTCCATTTCAGCTAAACTTTAGTTAATTACCAACCATATGAATAGTTCCATCATCCCTAATTTAACTTCTAAAAGAACTCAGAGTGGCAGATGGGGAACACAGCTAAAGCTCTTAAATGTGACTTTATCATAGGTTATAATAAATAAGAAAATATACGGAGATAAGACAAAAAAAAAAAACAAAACAAAATGGAGAAACATGCCTGGAAAGAAGCAACAAAAACAAAATAGATAAGTACACATAAAGGTGGCCAGTAGATGATTAAAAGTAATGAATATTAGTGAAAAACACATTTGTAAAACTGATAGATGATTACAATGCAATTACCAAACTTAATAGCTTTGAGTCATTGAGACTGAGAGTGAAATCATTTAGCTTTTAAAAATGTTACCTAATGTTTAAAAATAGTTTTTAACATGCAGAAACACATCGAAAATAAAAAAAGACATGAAAAATATATCTGGAAAATCATTAATCCAAACATCAGAGCAGTATTATTGTACTGGAAGTTAAAACAATGGGTTGCTTTTTATGATCCTATTTTTTATATGCATTGGATAAGAGAAAGAAGTTTTTGAAGTAGGTAATCTAAACTCCATGGGGTCAAAAAATTTGATGTGTAAGTCATTTCGGATAAAAGCTTAATTCCTTGATCTGGACAATGTATTCTAATATGAAGTGAAAAGATCACTGTATATTTTCTATTCTGAATGCATATTTTATGCCTGTTTTGTCACATGTCAATAATTTAAAAATATTATTAATTCATGCTCCGAGTACCCATGTGCAAGACATTAACATGGCCTAACTAAAAATATCAATTTTAAATAATCTAAGTCAAATCGTCATGCTTTTTGAAACTGTCAAACTCTTAAGAATCTGTTGACAAATCAAAGTATGTCCTGTGAAAACAAAGGCTCTATAAGAATCTTTCTATTACAACTCTCTCTAGTGACTGTCCTGATTAAAATTACTTAGCATCCTGAAAAGCTGTGATAATTGACAACATGAGTCAATAAAAACTTAGAACAAAGGGTCCTATAGCTAAATTTACAGATGAGGGGACTGATACTCAGAGAGGTCAAGTAATTTTCCAAAGGCCATGCAACTTATTAGGGGCAAAGCATGAACTGTAATTCCTGAGTTCTGGTACTATGTTCTCTTTCCATCAAGTGACTGTTTCCTTCAATTGAAGAAAGAGCTCCATCTTGAGCTGTGAAGCAGCAATGCTCATTAATTCCTTATTAGGCATCAGATTCTGTTTAACTTTGTAGCCAAACACTAAGAGCCCAGAATTTGAGAAAATCTGTACCAGTAGTGATGGGAATGTTTCTGTAAGAAACTTCCAGAAACAGTACAACTAGCATATTGTATTCAGGAGTCTCATGTCCACTAGCAAACATTCATTACATATACTGATATATTAATACTCTTTTCTGGTACATGTATGTATAACATATACTTATATATATTTCCATATGCTTGAGACTCTATAGATTAATATACAATCTTATTGCATTGGTTAATAGCTATATTTTATATTTGGCAAACTTCTAGTTATTGCTATAATTATTTCTATTTTGAGATTAAAATACTATATAAAAGGAATTAGGTAATTAAGTGAATTAGTCAATAGTATTTCATCTATAGGTATGTAGAGGTCACTTCTTATTTATTTATTTTTTGAGATGGAGTTTCACTCGTTACCCAGGCTGGAGTGCAATGGCGCGATCTCGGCTCACCGCAACCTCCGCCTCCTGGGTTCAGGCAATTCTCCTGCCTCAGCCTCCTGAGTAGCTGGGATTACAGGCACGCGCCACCATGTCCAGTTAATTTTTTGTATTTTTAGTAGAGACAGGGTTTCACCATGTTGACCATGATGGTCGCGATCTCCTGACCTCATGATCCACCCGCCTCAGCCTCCCAAAGTACTGGGATTACAGGCTTGAGCCACCGCACCCGACCCCTGTAGAGGTCACTTCTAAGACAGTAAACAAATAGTTTATAAAAAAAAAAAATACTGTAACTTCATAACCTGAGTGGTCTATTTTTAGAAGAAAAACCATTGTCTAAAATTCATAGGGTCCATCCTTACAATGTTCTTAGCAAGCAAGTCAACCCATCCTTAGAATTTTCTTTTTCAATGGAATTAAAATTTTCTGTATAGAAACAGTATTCAAGAAAAGACATTTAAATTTTCCTACTACCATTAAAGAAACAATATTATTACCTAAATTGGGAGCAAGACTAGTTCATTTGCATGATTTCAAAAACCCACCAATCAATGTTTTGTGAAGCAAAGTATATAGTTTCATTTAAGTACTACTTAAATATTATGAGGATTTGCATCATAAAGATCCTTTTGTAAACTGAACAAGCACTCACTATTTTGTTCTTTTTTTCGTGTTTTCTGAATATTGAATATACTATAAAATCAAAAAGATCTCTGTTCACATGAAAGAAATTCTTGGAGGAAAACACAGAATGAGAATCAGACACAGCATTTCTAAATTATAGACAAGAGCCAAATATGCTTTTTCCAATCATTGTTTTTGTTTCATTGACTAGTTCACCCTCCTGAGGAAATTAGTAGCATTGTCAATGGAAAGTAGTGTTTTATCTATCTTCCCTATGTGAAAGCAATATATTTGAACAGAAGAAACATTAGAATAGGGATCCATTTTTTTTAAACAGATTTAGATCTAAAGAAGTTATATCACCCTTGAAATCCTTTGGATGCTGTGAGGACTTCTTTGGTTAAACTGAAATATCACCATAGAATTAAAAAAAAAAAATGACCGAGGAAACTAACAATAGCTCAAATTTTGGAAAATTAAACATCAAATTTATCTTTTATGTATGATTTCAAATGTGTACTTAACCTCACTGTAAAACTTTATAAACATTTGTTATGTACACACCTGTAAAACTAGTCTACAATTAATTAATACAGCAGAAACATAAGTAAAAAATAGGTACAGGGTCGGGAGGAGGATTAGGGAAAAGAGTTAATGCATGTCTGGCTTATTACCTAGGTGACGGGTTTCACCTACGTAACAAACCTGCACAGCCTGCACATGCACCTCAGAACTTAAAAACATAATTAAAAAATGAAATATTTTGATCATTTCACACTTTCGTACTGTTGGACAAGTTCTTACCTTTTGTGATGGGGCAGAAATAATTACTACTTACCTTATTATTCATAAATGCTTTGAGACATTGAATAAGTTTATACTGATTCTTCTTGTCAATATTTTCTTGCCTAAATAAAGAAAAAATATATAACTTACGTTGTGCTGAAACATCTCCCCTTTGGTGATTTTATTTTTAATGTTTATTCTTACTGTTTTTTGTCCAGAAGCTTTTCCAGCTCATCCAATAAGAGGCCAAGACCTTCGTGGCCGAAGTTGTTAACCCAGCTAAGAAGTAAACAAAAAATTAGATGTATAAATAAGTTTGTAAATATAAAACATTAAATATCCAAAATACAAATTTAGTTTTCAAATCTGTTAATTCTGTCTCAATATTGCTTGTCATTATTTTTTCAATTCCTATTGCTTCAAGTATCAAGTCTTTGAGGATGACTCAGTGATCTTTACCTCAATCCTAGACTTGTGCACATTTTAGAGTGCCCATTACACAGCACTGCCTTGGTTGTTTCACCAGCATGATATACTTAAGCATGAATTTACAAGCTGAATTAATCTTCCTCCATCTCCATACCCCTAAGTCAACTTATCTTCTACTCTTTGATACTCTATTAATAACATTACTACCCTTTAAATTATTCAGACTCAAAATACTGGCATAGTTATTTGATGCCCCATTTCTCTCACATTTGCATTTATCCTATTTATTCATTCCACAAATATTGAGTGTCTAACACAGTTCCAAGCATGTTCTAGGTGAGAGAGATACAGAACAGGCAACAACACTAAGCAAATAGCCTCATGGACTTTACTGTCTAGAGATAGGGAGACAGTGAACAAGTAAGTATATAATGAATGTAATAATTGCTTTGATGCAGTGAAGAAAAATAAACCTTGGAAAATACAATGAATGGAGAGTAGCAGGTTGCTATTTTTCAATGTGTGATCAGGAAAGATTCTTTGATAAGGTTAGGTATTTCAGCAGAACCCTTGAGAAAGTGAGGACTTTTCAGGTAGAAGGATTAAGAGCAAATTGGGTCATGAGGCATTAGCTAGTGTGTTTTGAATGTTTCAGGAACTGTGAGGAAACCCATGTGGCAGGAGCTGAGCAAGCGGGTTTAGGAGACTGGCTGGAGATAAAGTCCCCTGTGTGGTAGAAGGCTGAAATATTGATAATGTATAGCTTGGTTTGACTTTCAGGCATCCAGTCACAAATATTCTACTTCTACTTCTAGAATGGCTCCCCCAAATGCCCCCTTTCTTCCTTTCTAATGCCTGTGCTAACATTCTAGTTTAGCCCTAGTTATCTTTCCTTTAATAAGCCTGGAGATTCCCAACTGGTGATTCCCCAACTTCATTCTTTTCTTTTACTCATTCTATAAAACTACAGACTAAGTTACCCTTAACCAAAGTTTCCTGTCCAAAAATTTCCCCCCAACTACCTAATACATTTTAAATCCTTTGGCTCAACATTTTGATGTAGCTTCAATCTACCTTTCCAGCCTCAGGCCTTAAAGCACATGTGCCAATGAAATCAGACAAATTATCATTGCTGGAGCCCACCTTGGACTTCCTCATGTTAACTCATTAATTCTTTCTTCCCAGAAGGTAACCTCAACTCCATCTCTCCAAACCATTTAAAGCTAAATTTAGCTGTTTTAAGTCATTAGTGTTTTCCCCGTAATTCCTCCAATCAAATGAGTTCTTTTTCCTTAGAATCTCCATGTAATATTTATCTTTTACTGCCTGACATTATCATAATGATTCTTGCCATATGTCTTATCTACCCCTTTGGCATATAAATTCTTTAAAGATAGTTGTATCATTTCATTAATATTTCTATCTTTCATAGTGTTTAACTAGGTAGCTTCTATATAGCCACTAAGTATTTAGGTTAAATAGACTCAACATTAAATAAATATTTGCTAATTTAAATTTAATTAAATTTACTGGCTTGTACGGTTAAGAGAATTACCAATTTGATACTTCCCAAGAACATCATAAACATAAATCAAGATACAAACTTCTGTGATATAATTAAAATCTATGCTTTATATATTTAAAACATTCCATTCCAGTCTTTAAATTATCCATTTCATAAAGACGTAAGGTAAATCTTATCAACAAAGCAGAGACCTAAATTTTGAAGGGAGTATCAGAGACATCACATCACTGAAAGAAACATATTTTTAAAATAGCTCATATTCAGAACCAGTCACCATCCATGATACACAGAGAAGCTCATTTTAACAAATTCTGCTTTAATTTCCATAATGGAAACAAGAAAAAAATCAATATGGCATTGTAATGATAATTGCCAACAAGCTACTATTCAATTGAGGCATGTAATCATCTAGTGCAATGAGCCATTTTCTCTAAAGGCTCTATAATCAGTGAGGTGGTGGTAGAGGGATAAAGGGACACCAGCTCTAAGTATAATATACTCCATTTAATTTATCACAGAGAAAAATCAGCAGACATCATTACAGCACACTGTACCCTACAATAACCTTTACATAATAGAAAATCTGAACAATTTTATATATAGTCCTCAATATCTGCTTTGGCATTTGGGAAGATGAAATAATCCATGATTTCTTTAAATTTACCACAAATTGTTTTTAAAATTCTATATTTTACTCATATTGTCTTTATTCCCTCTGCTATTAAAATTATTAGGGTTATTTCTTTCTAGGTCTAGGGAAGCATGATTCACGAGAACATGATTCGCATTTGTTCAGTTGAAATCAGTCGCCTACACATCCCTGTTTCAAATGGTAGAGTTCATAGTACTTTGTTTTTATTCAGGGAAAATTACTATTTATCTTAAAAAAAAAGATATAATCACACAACGTAAGTGTGAGGAGGCAGGGCCTATTTATTAGCAACTAGAGAGTGAAAAAAGTCTTAAATGAAAACATTTTAGGCGAATGGACAGAGGAGGCTTAGTAAGAGTCTTGAGAACTTTTAAAGTAGAGAGAATGGGAGACCCAAAGGAGCCCGTTACTAAGGGGATAAAATGATTATGATGTACAACGACAATACTCAACAGGTTAAAAGGAAGGGGGTGTGGCTAGACATAGCTCTGTTTCCTTTTCTCTTGCCAGCACCATTTCCCTGCCTTTCAGGCGTCAAACACTGTGAACTCCAGCCAAGCACTTAGTGTTTTACTGCTTCTCTTTCTCTTTCTCTCTCTCTTATGCGTAGAATATACTGATTTCAGCCAATACAGAAGTGGCCATGAATTAAGATGGCAGTTTAAAAACAAAATGTTGGCTCCTGTAGGTGAGCATGTGTGCAGAAATTCTGACACTGAAACACTAGAAGTAAGCATAAATCAAGGGTTCTCAAAGTGTGCACTCCAAATCAGTAGCATTGAGATCATCTGGGAACTTGTTAGAAATGAAAGTGCTTGTTCCCTACCACAGACCTACTGAATCAGTAGCTGGGAGGAAAACAGAAATGTATGTTTTAACTAATTCTCCTGGTGAATCTGATGCTCGCTCAAGTTTGAGAACCACTGGCATGGAACAATGGATTGCTGAGAAGCAGGGGAAGCCTTTCTCAGGCAAGACTCAGGCTCAGAACTCAAGGCTGCTTCATGTGCTCTCTCAATGATACTGTATCCTCCCAGTGCTACAGGACACAGATCAGGAATCCAGTTGAAACTGATATATTTGGTATATTTCATGGGCATATGAAAATTACAGCTCTGAGTTATTTAGTATTAACTGGAACATCTAGAATTATAAGAATATATTTTAAATGACCTGATTTAAAATCTGACTCAGAGATTACAGACAAAGACATAAAGTTTTCTATATTATCTCAGCCCTGAAATAAGAAACCAACATTTCTCATGGACCTTATGTTTTTGAGGGACACAGAAGCAGCAAAGAATAATAAAGAACCAAATGGAAGAAAAAATAGGAAAGGAGAATGATTCTTTATAATTTTCATAACCACCCCAAAACATGAGTTACTTTTTGTTTCCTTTTTACTGAGGTATAATTTACATATAGTAAAATTTAAACATTTAAAAAATGTATAGTCATGTAGCCACCAATAAAAATAAGATATAAAACATTTACACCATCTTAAAATATTGCCTCATTCACCTTTGCATTCAATCCCTTTTCTCTACTCTCAGCATCCTGGCAACTACCAATCTGATTTGGGTCCGTACAGTTTTGCTCTTGCCAGAATATCATTATAAATGGAATTGTATAGCTTTCAAATTTTGTGTCTGGCTTCTTTCACTTAACATAAATATTATGATATTCAACCATTTCATTACATGTATTAGTATTCCATTTCTTGTTACTGCATGAATATACCACAATTTGTTTATCTATTCATTAGTTGATGAGCATTTCAGTTGTCTCCAGGTTTTGATGATTATGAATAAAGCTGATAGAAACATTCACATGTAAGTATCTGTATAAGCATGATTTCATTTCTGTTAAAAAATGTACCTAGGAGTGGAATAGCTGGATCTTATGGGAAGTATAGATTTAACTGTTTAAAAACTGCTTTCCAAAGTGGCTATTTCATTTGGCACTCCTTCAGCAAAATATCACAATTCTAATTGCCCCAAATCCTTGTCAGCCTTTCTAAGTTTAGCTATTCTGAAAATTGTTTCTGGGTAAAGAAACTAAGAAGCAAAGTAGTTAAGTAACTCCCTAAGCATCACTCAAAACGTAAGTAGCAGTTCTAGGCCTCAAATCCATATCTGACTCCTAAGCCCATGCTTATTTCAACCACATCCTTAGAAATTATTAAAACAGGACGAGTACATGATTTTCTGTAACATCTAGGCTAATAGCTCCAATATCTCACTGAAGGAGAATTAGTGGTGTTACAGAACAGTTTGTATCTATATATCTATGCCAAGACATACAAACACATGTTTCATTATTTAACAGCTTAGTTCATTTATTGAGATAGGATAAGTACTTTTCAATCAATGCTTTTACTGTTTTTTTAAAATCCTGAACATCATAAGAAATTTACCAAATATTGTTAGGAAAAGATAACTGGAGACTTCAACTAAAATTTTCAGTCAAGATTTAGGCAAGGTGGTTTATCAGAAAGAATAGGACCAAAATGTAGCTTATACTATTTCTTTTTTTGATGGGCTACGTAGTCCACGATCTCACTTTTTAAGGTATTAACATATTGGTGATTTTGTGATCAAGTTATCTAAGTTAAAGAACTGTCTTAATATGCTACACATCCAAGCTGACATTTGTGGTCATGTGTCAGGAGACCAAGTGGAACAAATGAACCACCTGAACGAAAACAATAGACCAGTCAAGAAGATTAATGTTTGAGTGAGCCAGAAGCCAAGATTATATCTGAAGACCGAAAAGGAAGCCGGGAAGCTTATATTGGGAACAAGAGGTCTGAATCACAGTGAGATAGCATTTTCCAACCCTACGTATAAAAGGTTTGGCTCTATCTATCAGGGAGGCTAACATCAGCTACGCTGCTCAAGAAGCTAAAATTTAATGACTTTTTTCCAAGTTTACCCAAAAATCAAGAAAATATTGCACCATCCATCCATGGATTATGTTGTGGGGCCACATAGAGGCATGGCTAAATGCATAAGCTTTAGAGGAAAACAGATCCAGGTTCTAATGTCATCTCTACATATTCTAGCTGTAGTACTTTTGATAATTTACTTAAATATTCTAAGCTTATTTTCAAAATAAAGATGAGAACAGTACCTTTACCCCATGAAGTCACTGTGACTATTAAATGAAATAATATATAATATCACATAAATTATATATATAACATTCATCATCTTCATAATGAAGCCCATTATGAAGATATTTTTGAAAATGTTAAAACCAAAAATTTGAATGTTGTTTGAATCCTCTAGTCCAAAATGCAGTATGAATTTTAGACATAAATTAAAGCATCCTTTCCCACACAGTATTAACATGACTTTTAATCACTTAATGAACATTACATTAATTTTTACAAAACATGCAGAAGACTAAAATTATACTAAACTTAATCTATTGATTTGTTGAAAAATAAGACTTGGGCACAGTGTCATGCCTGCCATCTCAGCTATTCGTGAGGCTCAAAGAGAGGGATCATTTGAGCCCAAGAGTCTGAGGCCAGATGGGGCAACATAGTAGGACTCCGTTGCTAAAAATCTTTTTTAAAAAAGACTTCATAATCTAAATATTTGGTACTGATATTACCTCATGTGTTTTAAGTGGTCACTATTCAACTCTGTGTATACTTAATTCTAATTGTATTTAGTACTGGCCAATTCACATCAGAATAGACATGGAAATTGTAATGGTGAGGGGGAGAGAATTTTTAGTTCATGTATAATCCTGACAGAATTATATCAAAAATATATTTATGTTTTAAAATAGAAACCTATCCCCAGCCTTTAGAACTTCTGAGCTCATCATTTTTAAAGGAGCCACTTATCCTGATCAACATGATTAAAGGAAAGAAAATCTTACATTTAGTGAAGGTATCAAAAGATTCAATTAACCCTGCATCTAAGAGAAAGCAAGATTCTCCCCTCTCTAGCTCTTCACGGAAAAGCAAAATGAGGAAAATTTTCTGTAAATGTACCTATTGAAGGAGGGAATAAGATTGCTGCCTCACAGATTCTTATAAAGGACTACGTTTCGCAGTTTCCCAAAACCTCAACCTTTCTCCCATAGAGTAGATTCGGGCTCTGAATTATTTAGTTACATTTCACTTAAATAGAATGTAAAACCAAAGGTATAATGAACATATGAGTTCAGAGTGCTATATACAATGCAGATATAATAGAAAATACTGACTGCATGTCCATCTATGATTAGATTATCCAGATTAACACCTATCTTTCAAAAGGGTTAAAGCTAAAATTAGAAACTTCTATACCGAATCCCATAAGCTGTAAAGGCAATTGGTCTCATGTGAAGGAGTCCAATATTAGTCATGTCATCCCTTTATCACTGTTTGTGCAGTGCTAAAGGCTAGTATAGAGGGTTATGTGTTCTGTACAAAGGATTTTATTTCTCTCTAATGGTGTTCTATTCCCATGTGTAATCTCAAACTACAACCCGAATCACTGGAACATCAAATAAAATGAATGATAGTTCAGAGTTTCCTGGGGAATTCAGAAAATTGGTAAAATTATAACATGTGAAACAACTAATTCAAAGGTTTGAGGAGACTTTAAGTATTATCTTGAGTGGTGGGTTTTTGGCTTGTATTTTTTTTTTTTTTTACATGAAGACATCTCATTTTAATACCAATATTGCTAACGTAATGTTTTTTAATGCAACTAAAATCAAATCTTAGTTGTAGACACTTATGGAAAGAAAAAGAATTCTGCGTGATTAAAACCAGTATATAGCCCAACATAAACAGCATCATGCATTCAGTCCATGGATCAATCTGCATAAAGAGTAACCAAGAAAATCTTAATATTTTCTGCATCTTTAAAGGAAAATTTGTTCAAAAAAGCTAAATGAACATGATACATAGTCCCACTGTCAATATATATACCCACTAAAAATATATATAAACATGTATAATATGTACATGGATTTGTATACACTACAACTGACTTGGTCTTAGATCCATAAAAAACATATATGTCCACTCAGGTTTCTCTACATGAAAGCAAACAAAATAGCTTTCGGCATTTGAGTGTCCTTGGAAACTATTCATCATAGTAGATTAATGCATGAGATATCTCTGACCAATTATAAAATATATATTTGACACAACACTGCCATTTCCAGACATTTGTGCATAAACCATTGAAGCCTGACAGTCACTGATCATTTATTTCATGTGACTCATAGAAAGGTTAAATTCGTCAGTTTACCAGCTCTACCTCTGAGTGGTTTTGACTTTGGTGTTGTGATAGATTACAATTTCCTTAGAAACACCAAAGAAGACATTCCATCTTTCTCTCTGGCTGCGTTTATTCTCTCTGTCAGTCTCACTGCAAAAATCCTACTGTTTCATGTCACTCATGCATTTTTAGGAATTCCTTACAAAGTAGGAAATGTGCATTCTTTCTAGTTGTTTATATTACATAAATACAAATTCCTCTTATTTACAAAACAATTTTAAACAATCTAGTTACACACAAAAATCTCTTGAAGGCAACAGTTTAAGTAAACACTCTCTTAAAGGGATAAAACTTTATTCATTAAAATCAATTTTGTAAGCTGTCTAAATTACTCTGGAGATAGTCTAAGAAATGGCTTATGCCCAAATCTATCTGAATGCCTAACAGGCTAACAATAAAGAATATTTTCCTCCCCACCTTCCTTTAAACATTATTGTTGTAAAAGTATAAGAGAACGTCTAGCTCCAAAGTAATGATGGGGAAAAATTACCAAAAAATTTGAATGACAATGAAAATAGACTCTTCAATCTACAGTTAATAGGGGAAAGAAAGAGAAAGTGTATCCCAAATATTCAATTAAAGGCGACTCACATTTTATATCTTCTTCACATATTTGAACTAGTAGACATAATTATGTTAGGACACTTATTAAAGATGCCTTCTTAGTAAAATGACCAAACTTAAAATAAAATGTTAACTTCCACAAGAAAAATGTATTGGTTTATTTTCCTAAGATAAGTAATACAGTTAAAATTCTATCATGCATACCACAGGACGTCCAACTTCTTTTAGTTTACTGGAATTTTGTTAAAATAAACTTACTCCAAAAAATCACACTCCCAGTCTATAAGCCCTGCAAATGAAACAGAGCTGACAACAAGTTTATGTCATGAATAAAGTCAGGAGGAAGTTATTTGAATGTAATGAAGAAACATAGAGGCATTAGCATATACCAACCACACATAATCTTTTTTCCTAAATCAGTTTGTATGTTATACTATCTGATTCTGGTGGGCAGCAGAGAAATTAAATGAAATTTTTTTTTTCATGGTACAGGGGTAAGGAGAGTTGAAGGGTAATTGCTATTTGATGAGTGAACAACAGAAATGCAACAGTCCTTCTTACCTACCAGGTGCAGTGCCAAAAACATATAATTAAAGACTCATTACAGAGGGTGATAGCTACGTAGACAAAGATCAAAGAAATTTAATGTTCACAGATATTTTTAGCACAAGACAACTGCAACTACATCTAAAAAGAAAATCATTTTCTTGGGTCCTCACTGTAGATGTCAAAAACATTTTAGCAAGTTCAAATGTTCTTTTTCCTGAGAATGTTATCTGTAATGGGAATTGCTTTAGTCTTTTCTGGTTTGTTTATATATAGTATTTTAAAATCCATTTATCCTAACACTGAAAAAGATACTGTGAAGATTATATGTTTTTCAGTGTGCATGTACATTCTTAACCATGGTTAAATGTGTTTTAATTTATATTTATTTTTATTGACAAAAAATATATATACTGTATGACATGACATTTTGACACATGCATACACTGTGAAATGACTAAATCAAAGTAATTAACATAGGAATTACCTCACATACTTGATTTTATTTGTTATAAGAACACTTAAAAATATCCTCTCTTAGGACCAACAAGAAGATACTACAATCTTACATTTATATGCACCCAACACTAGAGCTCCCAAATTTATAAAACTATTACTACTAGACCTAAGAAATGAAATAGACAGCAACACAGTGAGTGGGAGACATCAATATTCCACTGACAGCACTAGATGGACCATCAAGACAGAAAGTCAACAAAGAAACAATGGACACAAACTACATCCTAGAACAAATGCACTTAACAGAAATTTACGGAACATTCTTCCCAACAATTGTGTAGTATACATTCTTCTCATCAGCACATGGAATATTCTCCAAGATAGACCATCTGATAGGGCATAAAACAAATTTCAATAAATTTAAGAAACTAAATATCATATCAAGCATCTACTCAGAACATAAAGGAATAAAACTGGAAATCAACTGCAAAAGGAACCCTCAAAGCTATACAAATACATGGAAATTAATCTGCTCCTGAATGATTTTTGGGTTAACAATGAAACCAAGATGGAAATTTAAAAATTATTTGAAAAGAATGGTACTAGTGACACAAGTTATCAAAACCTCTGTTATACAGGAAAAGCAGTGCTAAGAGGAAAGTTTACAGTGCTAAATGTCTGTATCAAAAAGTCTGAAAGAGCACAAATTAGCAACCTAATATCACACCTCAGGGAATCAGAGAAACAAAAAGAAACGAAGTCTGAGCACAGTAGCTCACACCTGTAATCCCAGCACTTTCCAAGGCCAAGGTGGGTAGATCACTTGAGGCCAGGAGTTTGAGACCAATCTGGCCAACATGGCGAAACCTGTCTCTACTAAAAATATAAAAATTAGCTAGGCATGGTGGTGCATTCCTGTAGTTCCACCTACTCGGGAAGCTGAGGCATGAGAATTTCTTGAACCTGGGAGGTGGAAGTTGCAGCACTGAGCCGAGATTGCACCACTGCACTCCAGCCTGGGTAAACTTGTCTCAAAAAATAAAAATAAAAAAAGAACAAACAAAACCCGTAGCTAGAAGAAGAAAAGAAATAGCAAAGATCAGAGCAGAACCAAATGAAATTCACACAACAACAACAAAACAACAAAATAGAAAAGATAAATGAAACAAAAAGCTGGTTCTTTGAAAAGATAAACAAAATGGATAGACCATTGGCAAGATTAATAAAGGAAAGAAGAGAAAAGATCCAAATAACCTCAATTAGAAATGAAACTGGAGACATTATAATTGATACCACAGAAATATAAAAGATCATTCAAGACTGCTATGAACACCTTTGCACATGTAAACTAGAAAATCTAGAGGAAATGGATAAATTCCTGGAAACATACAGCCCTCCTAGATTAAATCAGGGAGAAACAGAAACTCTGAACAGGCCAATAACAAGCAAAGAAATAGAATCAGTAATAAAAAAAAAATTGTCAACAAGAAAAAGTCCAGGACCTGATGGACTCACAACTGAATTCAACCAGACATTCAAAGAAAAATTTGTACCAATCCTACTGAAACTATTCCAAAAGAGAAAAGGGAATCTTCTCTAAATTTTTCTATGAGGCCAGTATCACCCTAATACCAAAATTAGGAAAGCACATAACGAAAAGAAAACTGCAGACCAATATCCCTGATAAACATCGATGCAAAACCCCCCAACAAAATACTAGCCAACTGAATTCAATAGCACATCAAAAACATAATGTATCATGATCAAGTGGGTTTCATCCCAGGGATGCAAGAATGGTTTAGCATAAGCAAGTCAATAGATGTGGTAAATCACATGAACAGAATCAAAAACAAAATCCATATGATCTCAATAGATGCAGAAAGAGCATTTGATAAAAATCCACCATCCTTTTCTGATAAAAATCCTCAAGAAACTAGGCACAGAAGGAACTTCCCTCAAAGTAATAAAAGCCATATATGACAAAACCAAAGCCAACATCATACTGAATGGGAAAAAGTTGAAAGTGTTCTCCCTGATAACTGGAACAAAACCAAAATGCCCACTTTCACCATTTCTATTTGACACAGTACTGGAAGCCCCAGCCACAGCAATCAGGCAAGAGAAAGAAATAAAGAACAGCCAAATTGGAAAAGAGGAAATCAAACTGTCTGTTTGCTGATGATATGATCGTATACCAAGAAAATCCAAAAGACTTATCAAAAAGGCTCCTAGATCTGATAAATGAATTCATTAAAGTCTCAGGTTACAAAATCATCGTACACAAATCAGCGGCACCAAGTGGAGAGTCAAATGAAGAACTCGACCATCTTTACAACAGCTGTAAAACTACGAAACACTTCTGAAAGAAATTTTAGATGACACAAACACTTGGAAACAAACCCCATGCTCATGAAAGGATAGAACCAATATTGTGAAAATGATCATGCTACCAAAAGCAATCTATAAATTCATTTCTATTCCCATCAAAATACCATCATTATTCAAAGTAGGTGTGGGGAAGTTGGGAGGTGGGTGAGAGATTAAAGACTACATATTGGGTACAATATACACTGCTTGGATGATGGGTGCAGTAAAATCTCAGAATTCAACACTATAGAATTAATCTATGTAACCAAAAGCCACCTGCACCCCCAAAACTATTGCAATTTTTTAAATAATAATTTTTTTAAAAATTTCCTCTCTTAGCAATTTTCAGGTATACAACATGTTGTTATTAACTATAGTCACCATGATGTACAATAAACCTCCTGAACTTACAACTTCTGTTTAAATGAAATTTTGTATCCTTTGACCAACATAAATACAACTATTTAAAATCCTTAATAATCCCCCACTAAACAACTTATAACTTTTATCCAAGAAAAAATAAGCCAAATCTGCCATTATTTTTCTTATATCATAGTGATATAAACCATTTACAGCAATAACAACACTGTAACAAATACATACATGACATGCAAACAAAAAATTGTGGGGCTAAGTGCAGTATAAAGTCCCTAAGATATATCAGCCTTATGTTATAGTCAACCTGGCTTGTCCCTATCTTCAGAGAAATCTAGAAATACAGCTACACCTAAAATATACGCATTTATATATTTTAAGTCTTTCCAAACATATATATGCCTTTTAAAGAAAGCATGTCTTAATTGCTGAAATAACTTTGGCCTTATTCAAAATAACGAACTTTCTATTCAATTGGAACAGCTAAAAGCCAAAACCAACAGACAATTTTAATTAACAACATGGATTTTTCTTCATTTATAAACAAACCTCCATGAAAGAACACACACCAGTAAGAGTAGCTTTCCTGGTTGTGAAATAAGTTACTCCATTTTGTAGATGAAGAAACTAAAGAAAGTTAGTGACTTGTCTTAGGACACAGAGCTTCTTAATAGTAAAACAATCCAGTACTTCTCAATTCTTGAATACCTCCCATTAAGCTATATTATCAAGAACATAAAAATCATTAATTAGAGGTTACAAGATTTTAGCTATTTTACTTTCATGAACAGATATTGGATAAAAGTTAAAATATATTAAAAATACCACCAATGGGTATATGTAGAAGTAAAGACAATACCAATGAGGTGGTTTTCATCTTTTTAATTATTCATTTTGGGTTGCATCTTCAGAGCAAGGGATACTTTAGATAATAAAAACATCAGTATGTCCAAAAATATACTTTCTTTCTGTTTTTCATGTACCAATGGACAAACTATTGAGCTCCATCATATTGCAATTTATGACTATAGGCTGTAGACATGTCAATTATACACATACCTGTAAACACCCACTTCAAAAAATGTAGTAACTATTAGTTGGTATTTGACCTGATGTAAAATACTGCAAAAATATTAGAAAGCAGTTTTAAAAAATGAAGCCACTTGACTTTCATTTCGGAATAACAGTCCTTGATAACCCTTACTTGCTTCCATACCCAACACGAAAGACATTGGTCAGTCATTACAGGGTTGCTTGCTACTAACTTCCTTGCCTTCATTATCCCTTTGCACTTTACCTTATTCACTTTGGTTATAGTGAATTTTCAATAATCCCAGTAATCCTGTTTTGCCAGACCAATCACTTCCTCTATCAATTTTTGTCTCCAAATGGAGTGAGGCCTGAGCTAGAATATTGGCAATGGAAACGTAAAAGCTGTTTAGATATCACAAATGAAAAAAATGAGCAAATGTGACATATGAGGAGCATCAAAGATGATGCCAAATCATACATACAAGGATCAGAGCCAAGATCTTGAATGCATGGATGAGCTTTCTAAGACAAAGAATATACTGAGGATTATTTTTTAAAATAGTTGAACACTATTAAGTGATCCTGAATCATCTGTGAGTTTACAGATTAATAAATTCAACATGATGCTTATATATGCGTCTGCAGTATATGTCCAGCACAGTGCTTATATCTCCACAGTGCTATTTGATAATTCACATTTATCTAACATCCTTCATATCAATATGATTCAGAACTTTACAGTCACATATTTGAAAAACCAATCTGGGCCGGGTGTAGTGGTTCATGCCTGTAATTCCAGCACTTTGGGAGGCCAAGGCAGGTGGATTACCTGAGCTCAGGAGTTTGAGAACAGCCTGGCCAACATGGTGAAACCCCATCTCTACTAAAAATACAAAAAATTAGCCAGGTGTGGTGGCACATGCCTGTAATCCCAGCTATTCGGAAGGCTGAGGCAGGAGAATTGCTTGAACCCAGGAGGCAGAGTTTACAGTGAGCTAAGATTGCGCCACTACACTCCAGCCTGGGCGACAGAGCCAGACTCCATCTCAAAACAAACAAAAAAAAGAAAAAAGAAAAACTAGTCTATATATGCAATTGTTCTTGCTCCTCAAATGAACTCCTCTATAGTGATTTATTCTTAACTTTTATTATTCCAACTTTCCAAGCACATTTAAAAGAGTTGTAAAATGCAATAAGGTGAATAATTGAATCAAACTATAGTCATCAGCAAATTAAGACACATGATTTCAACACGTAAATCCTTATTATAATTTGTAAACAACACAAAAATAGTAGCATAAACAAAAATTAATGATAAACCAATGTAATGACCTATCACCACAGCACATCCTGCGTTCTATTCCCAGGAGAAAGCAATGATGAGCAAATAAAGTTTTTGAAGATATGAAATATATCACAAGATCAGAGAATACCTCCAGCTTGATGCCCCATACCACTTACACTTAAAAGTATTATGCCATTTTAATCAATGCTCATAATGGGAACCTCAAAGGCACTATAGAATTCTTAAGCATTTTCTATAGTGAAGAAAAATTCATTAATACTTAATATAGTTTTAGTGCTGGATCCATTTCGAGATATTCTTTGACAGATATTAATTCACATATGGAAATTTATAACTCAATTTAAAAAAAAATCTGTTCAACTACAGCACTCCAATCTTCAATATGTTTTGATGAATAAATGTTGAATGCACCAATTTAAGATATGATCTCCAGGAAATTCTTTTGGAAGCTGGTATCAAAGAAACTAAGGTACCACATAAAAGAAAAAAAAAAAAAGCACTATAGCAGTACTCAGTACTCAGGTAGTATCCTCCAAAACAGAATTAGAGTCAACCTGCATAGTTTCAATAACACTGGATGCTACAGAACTGACCTAACAAATACAAGTAGGTTGATTTTGGGTGTATGAAGGCTTGAATTCATATTCATATGAGAGGCCACTAACTGCCTCATTTGAAGATGTTTTAGTTTTTAGAAGTACTATAACATTATGTTTTTATATTCTGCCTTCATGGATTCCATCTTAACAGAAGACTCCAGGTTTAAACTGCCTGGTGTGAGAGGCCATACACTTACAGCTTTGCTGACCAGGTGGGAAATCTCCCCAAATTAGCTGTCCATTATCTAACACCAGTCGAACAGCTGGGGTCATAGAGCAAATACTGTTATCTAGTGCAGATGGATCTTCTTTCAATCAACCATACAGACTACTTGCACTCCAGGTGCTAGCTGGCATCTTAATTGTGAGTTGTCAGCTATCCAACTTCTATCAAAAGTCTGGCTGAGACGATAGACAGTCCAAGGGGAAAGCCTCAGGCACATTTCTCAAGTACACCTTGGTAGCAGGTTAGATTACTAGAAAGTTACATTCCAGTACTATTACTCCTGGTCATTGTAGAAATATCATAACCTTGATTTTTTTCACTTTTTGGCTCCATGCCGGAAATGGACATTCATAGAAATCCTCTGTACTTTATGGAAAACTATCAAGGACTCATTCTACTGTTGTTGTCTGATATCCATCATTTAAAGAACCACAAGATAAAATGAGTTCAGAAATGAATTCAGAATTAGGAAGAACGACCCTCCTGAAAAACAAACAAACAACAACCAAAAAAATAAAATAAAATAAAAGCAATGTCATTTATCAGGTAACAGCTATGTCTCTCAATACTTTTTATTGAGAGACTTTAATTGAGAGAGAGAGCTGTTTACCTGAAAAATGACACTCCCACACCCCTCTCCACTCCACACAAAGAAACTTGAATCTACTTTATACTCAAATCGTTACCTGACATTGTCCTAGGTTTTTTGAAAAGTTCCACCTCCTTTCCTCATTTAATTAGGGCTTGCATTTTTACCCTGGTCTAATAGAAGTGGGATACCTTCTTCTTTTATTTTACGCTGCAACTGCTTTTGTAATATTCTCAAAATGAGAGAAGTATTAAAACTCTAGTGTGTACCCAAGACCTTTAAATTAGTTAATATAACTTGAAATAAAAATATTTCAAATGACATATTTATATGCATTTTCTTCCCAATACTAATTTTGAATATATAGAAAATGAATATAAGTGTTTTAAGAGGAAAGTTAGCCTTCTACTAAGAAATCCATTTAGTCGGTGTGCCTAGATTCTGCTGCTAGATTATATATACCTTTATATGACCAGTTACATGCTTCTAATTATTTTAGATGATTATTATATAAAAATTGGCTTTCTAGTTAAAAATACAATATTTAAATGAGAAAATATACTGCCTTGGTGGAGCTTACATAGTAATAAAATAAATGCAACACAGAGCCACTATTTATCCTAATGCCTGTAACATTTTCTCCTAATAATACTTTAAAAACTTGGGTCAGTATTTACTGTGCCTAATATATGACACAGAAATCTACTTTGTTTCTATTAAGAGTTATTACCATTGGATGTGCTGATGTCAGAATTATGTTTTGAAGCTAATAGTATATAATTAAAAATTCCAGGTCACTTAATATTTATGGTACCAACTTAGTGAAATGAGCTTGAATATACTTGATACGAATTTGAATTGTTGACCAAGATTTTAACAAAAGCCATATAAACTGACATCTGTAAGGACTTTACTGTTTTCTATTTTATGCATAAATGTACTAATGCTATTCTAAGGTGATTTATGAATGTGAAAGTTAAAGCAAAAAAATTCAAAATGCCCATATTTAAAAATCCTGCTTTACTGATACCATACATAATGCTGCTTTATGAGATGTGTTCACAATTTTAAGTACTGTTCACATTTCTACATTGTAAAAAGTGTCCTTATTATTCCATCTTTCATAGTTAGTCCCCTGCAAAATGTTCTAAGAGTATTGATCTGTACCTACCCTTTATATTAGTTTTCTAAGTACTGTTAGCTGCTTTGTCAAGCTTTTGACAAGTTTAATACAGATTGTTTAAATAGTTATTAAGACCTATAATAAAGAAAGTGCTTTCTAGTCCTAATTTATATTGCTGTCAAGATGCAACTGTTTTCATTATAATGATTATGTTAAAATGCACATTTGTTAATACACTAGAAAAATACGTTGAAATCTAAAAGGAAGTACGATAGCATCAAATAAAAACAAATACTCCAGAGGTAATGCAAATAACTGTACATGTGTCAACTCGAAAAGATATTTTATGTTTTCACTGGCTTGGAAACATTGGCTGAGGAAGCTATCATCATAGGACGTGAACACAGACACTGTGCCATGAGTTTGGCAGATAAGTGGCTCCCAACCAAACAGAAAAAACAATTTCCTAGTGGGGTAAAATATCCCTAAAGCTGTGAGGCAATTTCAGCAACAACTCTAAAAAGAATTCCAGGCAATCACAATTCTGTGATACTATTCTTCAAACCACTATTTGCTGTTTTTGTCATGTGCTGAGAAACCTTAGTGACAATGATCTATTGCTACATATTTCTTTGGATCTTTATAAAATGTATTGCCAAAATACCTATACATCTTGCAATGAATTGGCTGGGAATAAAATTGTCCAAACTCATTGGTCATTTCTTAGCAGGAACTGTTTCCTTTCATAAACTTTAGTAAAGAAATATGAACAAAAATCTCTAAATAACATAGTCCTCATTCTAAATCACACATAGACCATGTTACGTGCAAAGTCTAATGCAATTTATAATGGTAGATTGGGATTTCTTTCATAGTCAAAGCACATGGATTTTTAGAGTGTTAAACAGAGTTGTAAACATTCAATTTCATTAATTCACCATGCAATTGTAACAAGGCTATTGTGTAAAGCATGCTATGTTGTCTGTGGACTGTGAATATGATTCAAACCAAGGTTTCATTCTTATGTGGAAGAAGTTAGCTTCATTCTTTTTCTGATTACAGCTGAAAATGCATGGCCACAAAATAGTGCCAGATTAATGCAAATTCATTCTCACTGTTGGAGAAGCATAGGTTGTTATTGATGGTGGGTCAATATCCACATCAAATCACACATTAGTATATATAAATTACAAAGTACCAGCCATCATGAGACAAATAAGAGGGCAAGAGGGTCCCTTCCCAGAGGAGACTAAAATCTAAATGAGAAAAACAGACATGCATGCATGAAACTATTATAAACAAGAACAGGTAAATGTATATAGTAACAAATAAGTGTTGAGGGAATGTACAGTAACAGAGTGATTTGAAATAGGACCAGTTAATGATGGCTTATAAAAGGGATTTTTAAGTATTTGCTTAAGCAGAAAATAATAAACTGAAATGACTTTCATAAAGCCTTTATCATCTGAGTGATTCAAAACCATATGAATGTGGAATTCATGACTCCATTTAATATTCCAAAATGACTGCTTTGAGAATGTTTGGTAAAACTATTAGTATGTATATGTATGTATGTGTGTGCACTTAATTATATGTTGTTGTTTTTTTAATTTTACAAGGGGCTGAACAAAAAGAAACCAGTTAAAACTGTGGTGGGGAGGAGAATTACCCAGGAGAGGACAACGGTCTGGATTCTAATAAACACCAGGTTTGAAAACAGTTATGCAACAGATTTCAGAAACTGCTTTCATCTGTATTTAAAGGAAATTATAAATATATGTCGGGGGTGGTTAAATACATTTATAAATACAAAAATAATGGAACATTAGGAAATCCTCTAGCCTTACTAAGGAACATTATTCTCATTTTTCAAAATAATATCTAAACACTAATGTAGTTCCAATAGCAAACGTAAGAGGACTGAAACTAGGCAAAAGAGAATACAGAACACAGAGGTTTAGAGCTGGAAGGCTCCAATCCTATTTACATATGAAGAAACTGAGGTCCAAAGAGGTCCATTGACTAGACCAAGGTCACTACAGAGGAGTGACCAAAAATTAGTATGATTTATCATATTGTCACAGGATCCTGGGGTGTCACTTAGCCAGCTAGAAACCTCTGTGGCTAGTGGCACCTCCTACCTGAGTATTGTTTGTGCCCTCTGGACTTGTTCCACCCACTCAGCCTGGCAAGCTGCATTCAGTTCATGCTACCAGCCCAGATCCCCGACCTGCCAAGGGCAAGACAGGCACAGAGCAATGAAGTGTGTGTGGGCAAGTAAGCATGGAGTCTGGCCACTGTGCACAGCCAGGCACACCGGCCGCTGTGGCCAGGTCAGCAGCTTCAGGTACCAGCACAGGTGCCAAGTGGGCAGCTCCAGGTTCTGGCACAAGTGCCAGCTCCAAGCAAGGCTGAGGCTGGAGTATATATATCACATGTGGCTTCCAATGCAGGCATCCACATTTGCACAAGGGGAAAGTGGTGGCACCCAGAAGCTTGGCAACACCAGGAACCACAGAGCCCCAAAGCTGTATCACAGCCCTTGCTTAGGGAACCCCCAGGTCTGGGATCCCTGAAGGGCTGCAGCACTCTCCTTCTTGTCACCCGCAAAGTGGTGAGCAGGGGAGCATGTTTCAGCCCTGTTTGTGTTATAGCTCTTTCAGTCCTGCCATTCAGCAGGTCTGGCGTTCTTGTCCCAGACAAGGAAGAATGAGGCATATGGACAACTGGAGGGTGAGCAAGGCAAAGAGGAACTTCAATGAGTGACAGAACAGCTCTCAAGAAACCTAAAGTGGGTAGCTCCTTTCTGCAGGCTGGTCTTCCTGACCAGTGTCTAGCTCTCAGTGGAGACGAGGAGGAGACCCACAGTGGATGGCTCCTGCCCACAGGCAGGTCGTCCCAGTGAGTGTCCAGCTCTCAGCCGAGAGAAGACCAACAGTGGGTAGCTCCTTTCCATGGGCAGGTCATCCAGGAATGTCGAGGAGACCTGAATTGGGTAGCTACAACTCATAGCTGGTAGTCCGGATATCTGTGTGAGTCTAGGGAGGAAGTATGTGTTGACTGGTCCATAGGCAGGCCTAGAAAAAGCATCGCAAGTTCTCACTCCTGGTGGTAGACTCTACCCAGAACTGGCAGCCTGGACACCAGGCTTCAGATTTTCCCTAGCTTGAAGGTGGGGTTTCACCTGGGACCCACCCCTTTCCACCAAGGAGCCTTCCAGCCTTCTGCCACCATCAACACGTCCTCCACGGTGCCCAGGCTGTTTGTGCCAAGGGACACCTGCAGGCTCATTCTGAGTTGCCCTCAGCACCTCCTCAGCCTCCTTCCCATGCTCATTTGCACCCAAAGTCCAGAGGGGCCTGAGGTGGTATCTAGCATGTCAGCACCACCCCAAGAGCGTGCACACCCAGACAGGTTGCAACAGTGCCAAGGCTCAGCCACAACTTTGCTTTGAAATCAGATGCAGGGAGTAGAGAGAAGCCAGAGAGCAGGAGCTGGCACTTCTGAGCCTGCAGGGGCCGAGGGACTTCCAGGACCCTGGAGAGCACAGAGATGCCCAGGTTTGGAGCTGAGGCTGAGTGGTGGCAGCTGCACCTGGGAGCGGAGTGCAGGGCTCCTACACCTACCAACTCAGTAGGGGGTGGGGCTCTCTAGAGTATGTAGCCCTGGTTGCGCCTCCCCAGCTGAAGCTGAAATCCCCACAGTGGCTGCTCCAGATGGGCTGCTGCCACCATCAGTATAACATGCTACTTCTCAGAATTCAATACAACAGAAAATTTTGTTTTATAAAGGGAACAAAGCTAACAACATTTAATTTAATTAAGGATGATAAACCTACTACATGATTTTTTGGATATTCTGACCTCATTACCTAGACAGAATTTAGCTTATTTTGGTTATTTCAATGGTTTCAAGGATAAGTTTTCCTAGCATAATTGTAGTAGGTTGAATACTATCTACCTAGAACCTCAGAAAATGACCTTATTTGGAAATAGGGTCTTTGTAGACATAATTAAGGTAAGGATCGAGATAACACTATATACTACTGGAGTGGGGTGGGCCCTAAATCCAATTAGAATGTCCTTATAAGAGACAGAAAGGATACACAGAGAAGGCCATGTGACCATAAAGGCAGAGATTAGTATTCATGCTACCACAAGTCAAGGGATGCCAGAAGCTGGAAGAGGCAAGGAAAAATCCTCCCCTAGAGCCTTTGGATGGAGCTCCCTAACATCTACAGTTCAGGTTGCCTGAACTATGAGAGAATACATTTTAGTGGTTTTAAGCCACCCAGTTAGTGGTAATTGTTATGGAAACCCTAGGAAACTAAATAATAATATTCAATAATTCCAGTTTAATTTCAGGGATTTCTTTTATATAAGACACTATGCATTGTCCTGCCTCTCTCCCTCACAAAGGGCAAATTGACTTGATTAGGAATGGGCACCTGACCCACAGTATGATAAGCACTTAAGTTGGCCTGCTAACTGAGGTTGCCTGACATGAAAAGCTTTCTCCAAGCAGAAAAAAATGGGGACCAGAACCTCCTCATTAGAAATGTTAACAGGGCAATAGAAAGGTCAGGCAATCAATATCAGGAAAATAAACTGATTCGTGAATTAAAACTGGAACATCAGGGTGATAGATCATGAATTTCTACAGTTGAGTTGAAAGAGGCCCATGACAAAAATAACTGGGTTTTAGACTACCTTGGGATGTCAACTAACCTTCCATACTAACCTCCATGAGGCACAACTACACAGCTATCCCTAGAATTCCTGTGAGATTTCCAGCTCCCTTACTGTAATGTACAACATGTTCTCCCTGCTTCCACCCAGGGCTATTCTTTAAAAATGTGGGTCACCTCGTGCCATTCAATTCCTCAAAACTCTCTAAGAGCGCCCCAGCTCACTCAAAGTAAAAGCCAAAGTCCTCTGACTGGTGGATAAGGCTCTACATTATCCAGCATGCTAGCCTCCTTGACATTCCTAGCACATGCCAAGCATGCTCCCATCTTTGGTATTTGCTGTTGCTGTTTTCTGTTTCTAAAAACATTACTCTTCCAGTGAACATAACTTACTGCCACACTTCCTTTAGACCTCTGTGCAAACGTCATTAAAGTCAGGGAGGCTTTCACTGATCATCTAATATAAAACAGCAACATCTCCTCCTCATCTCATATCACAACCTGACATTTTATATACACCTTTAAAAAAACTGTCTGAATTCCTGTACTGGAATGTAAGCTCCATATGTATAAGTCCCATATAGACAAGAGGAATTTAATTTTGTTATTCCTTTATAGGATTATCCATGTGATATGTAAAAACAAACCACATAGTATTAAGCGCTATTTATTGAACCTCTCCAATTTAAGGTATTACCAAAGCAAATTAACTCTTAATGTTAAAAAAATTGTTTTCTTAATTTATCACATGATGGCAAATTGGAATAAACATCATACAGATGGTGTTAGAATTACTAGAAGTATCATCCACAATGGATAGGGCAAAGAAGTCCCAATTTACATACAGCTATATGATCAGAAAAAAATAGGCTTTTCAATGCACTAATACATATTCTTGAGACATTATCTTTCAAAAACTACAAGCATAGATTTTTAAGAAAATGTAGAATTTCAGATGATCTTTCAAATCAATGAAAATATAGTCCCAAATGGTATTACAGTGTCATAAAAAAATCACCTAAGTTATTCAACTAAGTTTTCTATAACAACAAAAAATAACGTTTTGTCTCTTAAGCTGATAGATGAGTAAAAAGGTGTTTTATATTATCTTCTATACTTTTTGCTGAAAGTTTTCAGTCTTTTTATTCTTTTAAATAAGACAACTTTTAATGAAAGAAGGTCAAAACAGTATGCGGTAACAGTGAAAGAATACTAACAACAGTGAAAGAATACTATTTTTAATAGACTTTCCTTATTGTGACACTGTACAAAGTAGTTGTTAAGGGCTCAGGCTCTAGAGATACACAGCCCGGGTTTAAATGTTAACAATGACACTTGCTGGCCATGCAACTTTAACACGTAGCAAATTACTTAACCTCTCTGAGCCTCAAGTTTGTCTATAAAATAGGAACAATACTAATAATGTTACCCTGGTTGTATATGTAGATTTCAAGGTATTACGACATTGCATAGGGGTAGTAAATGCCATATACATACTACCATATATATCTGTACATATATATATAAAACATACACACACATGTAACTTTTCATTACTATTTGTTAATGTATTAAAAATGCCTATATGCCATCCAAGAAGACATTTGGAAGTAGAATCTCAATTTAAAAAAAAAAAAAAAAAGAATCTCAATTTCAAGAGAGAAGTATAAGCTGAAAATGTAAATCTAGGCATCACAGGTATCATACATACACACACACACCCCACATACATAAAACTCCCGCTCTCAGAACAGAACTTGGGAGATAATACTACAGAAATAGTAAAATGTTAAAAATAACTTTTTTTTTTTTTCGGAGACCGAGTCTTACTCTGTCACCAACCTGGAGTGCAGTGGCGCAATCTTGGCTCACAATAACCTCTGACTCGCAGGTTCAAGCGATTCCCCTGCCTCAGCCTCCCAGTAGCAGGGACTACAGGTACATGACACCACGCTCAATTTTTGTTTTTTGTGGTTTTTGTTGTTGTTGTTGTTATTTTGGTAGAGATGGGATAGTTTTAATAAGCATTTCAGAAGTCAATTAAATTTAAGCTTATCAAAATTGAAGTTAACACTTAAATGCATATAGTAGGAACTCACTAAAGATTTCATGTACAAATATAATTCTTGCTAGTTACCTTTTTAAAATTTCTGTTATAAAACGTAAACGGAAATTGAAAACATATAAGAATTTAAGTTTTTCAGCTTCTACTCCAAATATTACTAAATTTAGTAGGTAAAAGTAACAAAATGATCACTAATAATTATGACCATAGTAAGATTACTATATTGGCCTTGAAAACACTTTCAAATATATTTATTCATTGTTAATTTAGAATCAACCTCAATATAAATACATACATTTATTCCTGTGAGCCATAGGAAAAAACCTCAGGTGGATTATAATTGTCAATTATGTTTTTCAGTTTCCTCAGGCTTAAATGTCCCTGTCCAAAATAGTCAACAGTATGTCCTCATGATTTGCATCTTATCCTCAAAAAGTGTGGCTAACAATCAGGTCAGGACCTCAAAGAAAGGGGATATTGGCCAAGTCATTCCCAGTCTAAACAAAATTGAAAAAGTATGCATGTCACGTGGGTGTTGAAAATGAACTTTAAAAATCTGCTGCCTTTAACACGGACTAAATATGCATGTATAAAACAATCCAGTGATTGTGTTATGCCTAAAAATGTCTGATTTCCACTGACATTATATCTAGACCTGCTTACGATTTTTCCACTCCTATCTTTTACCTGCTGCAGAATCCACTAAACCACATGATTCCATTCAGAAGAGTAAGGATTGGGGGGAGTCATTTTAAAAACCTAAAAGAATCCCAAGGAACACAGATAGAGGATAGTTCCCGTCAGAGGATGGGGGAGAGGTTGGTCTTCTGCTTTAAATTCAGGTGTACAGAAAGCATCACAAACCTTAAGCAAGAATTGATGGTAAGTTTTTCTAATGGCCACTGACAGAAGCCATTTTCTTAAAGTTTTCCTGAAAGTATGGATTACTAGCAATGCTCCATTTAAGAGATTTTTTTTATAGTTTTCATGATTCAATTAAATAATGCTCTTCCCTTCTGTCTAAATATATATTGTATATGAATATACATATATTATATAAAAATATAAAATATATAAATTCAAAAGTATATATTTTTTCTTTCCTCTAAGTAAAAAGTTTAGCATCTTGAAAGATACCATCTTTAGTGTATATGTAACTGAGGGTTTTCATTAATGGTCAATTATCTAAAGGTATCACATAATTTATACAATCTACACTAAAATGTATTATTAGAACTAGGTTATAGCATATGTTTTTGGTATAATATATAGAAAAGAAAAAATTCTAGACAATTAAAACTATCCTCAAGGATATAAAACAAAAAGGCTTTTTCGAATGTACTTAGAAAAAAATCACAAAGGAAAGTTAAGATTTTGTAAAACTATTTTAATACAACATTTGAATAAGTCTGTGTCAAACTCAGTAAGTTTCATATTCCTATGACTTGTTTCCCTAACCTCCTAAAAAGTACCCTGTTATACATAAAACAGAGCATTTAGTAAAATACAGAACATACCAGCACATAAATCTTACAGAAACTCTGGCATCTATTTACCATACAACTACCAGAAACTGTAATTTCATCAAATACCACATCATATTTGAAATAATCATTAAACTTACCCACATTAAAAAACTATATTCAAAGATAACCTGGCAAAAATGATTTATTTAAACACAGTATAATCTTATTTTAAGAAAACATAAATTCATAGTAATAACAGCAAATACACAATAAATGAACTGAGCATTAGAATTCACAAATAAGTATCTTCAGCTCATTTGAATTAATCAAATACTAAATACTATATTGAGCAAGAGATAACAATATCACTATAATAAGCTATATCTAAACATGGAAAATAAGTCTAACATTAAAAACAAGCAATGCTTTTTTTTTTTTCTCTTAGCTGGCTCCCTGAGTGCAACTAGTTTTTCCCAATACATAGATATTTTGGAAAAAGAAGTTCGAACACAATTAAATAATAAATTTTAACATTTTCTGTAGTTTTTCTTCCCCCAAAATCACCATGTTTCCATTAGCTTGCTTGTAAATCCTACAAAGAGTTCAGTCATTTTATCCATTACCATCTTGAGCTTCAAATATAGCTAGAAAAAAAGAAAAGTTCAAAGTAGTTGGAAAAGCAGCGAGTTGCTGAAGAATGCCAGTTGAGTTTTTTTTTTTGTTGTTTTTTTTTTAGTCCTTCCTAAAAAGTCAACAGGTCAAAATTACTCACAGCTGGATGCAAGGGTCTTCAGAAAATAAAAGGATGGTTTCCCTGTCTCAATCAGCAGACTTAAAATGCTCCCGATCCACAGTGGGATAGATGTGGCCCTCGAGGGTCAGATAATCAATCACTTCCTTGATGGCCTGGATGCTGAGGTCGCAGAGCTGAGCCTGGAGCTCATGGATGCTCCTCCCTTCCTGACGAGGGCACTCGTGAATCAAACGCAGCACTTCATCCCGGATGAAATTGCGGCGACTCTCATCATTATCCCCAGCATCATCTACTTCTGATGGAGACACAGGCACACTTTCTAGAGTGGTATCACCACGGGCTTTATACAGCATCATGTGTGCACTGACCGTTTCCAGAATATGCACGGTGAATTCATTCATGTCCTCAAGGACATAGATTTTCAATACTTCAAGGCTCTTGGTTCCCGCGGGACATTTGAGGATACCAAACACTTTCACATATAGTCCGACTGACAGTGGAGTCAGCTGCTTGACTTTCTCTCTACCAAACCACTGTCGGGCCTCGATTGGCTTCGCAGTCATATCATCAATTTTGTAACAAATGTGATTTGAAGCCTTCTCTGCCTCTCTGATTACCCCCACGACGGAGACCTGGGAAACTGTAATTCCCCTAACCTTGAACACAGTATCCAACACAGTAGAGCTCAGCAGCTGGTACACATTACACGGTACGATGTTCTGGATTCGGACCCTCGGTCTTTGGGTCTTAACAACAGGAGCTGCACCTCTCTCAGATGGTTGGTCACTGCCTCCACTCGCTCCACTGGCAGCAGAAATACTGCCATAGCTCCCAAACCCACTCTTACTCATCTTCAAAACGGCTCAGGCCAAGGAGAAGGTGGGCTTTGGCTTGTCCGGGGCTCCACTGAAGGCTTGGACCTCTCCACAGAAGACTCCGAGCTCTCCACAGAAGACTCCGAGCTCTCCACAGAAGGCTCCGATTGAATGCTGGGAACCTGATGCTCGGACAAGCTTCACGCTACCTGTGGGACCAATCAGCTACCAGAATGCATCTGCTTCCAGCCAATCCGGGCTTGCCACCTTCTCACCTGATCTGATAATCCTTCCCTGTGTGCCAGTGATTGCTACATTCTAAAAGTCCCACACGAGGGGACCCTTGTTGCTTAGCTGGTCAAAGCGCCTGTCTAGTAAAAGTCCCACGTGTCTTTCAAAGCCAGCCTTTCTTGCAATCTCTATCAAAATGCATTTTTACTAGTCTCCCCTCTTTATTTCTTAATGCTGCAACTTCTGCAATCACTTTTAAAAGACGCATTTATTCACTGAAACAACAATGCAACAGAAATTTTAGGAGCACAAAGTGCTTGGCCCAATGGCAGAGTGCTGTACGTTATGTGCAAGGGGAAAAATGAACCACTGTGGTTACTGTTTTTAAGAACTCACCTCCCCTGTTCAAACCATTACTAGGAGCATTGGCTGGGCACAGTGGCTCAAGACTGTAATCCCAACAGTTGGGGAGGTCGTCGCAGGAGGATTATTTGAGATCAGGAGTTGAAGACCAGCCTGTCAACGTGGTGAAACCCCATCTCTACTAAAAATACAAAAATTAGCCAGGCGTGATGGTGCACACTTGCAATCCCAGCTACTAGGGAGGCTGAGGTAGGACCATCACTTGAACCCAGGAGGTGGAGGTGGTAGTAAGCCGAGATCGCGCCACTGCACTGCACTCCAGCCTGGGTGGCAAATGAAACCCCGTCTCAAAAAAAAAAACAAAAACAAAAACAAAAACTAGGCAATCGTCTTTCAATGATTATCATACTCTAAGATAAGTCACATCTTAACACTGGCTTTAAAAAATTTTTTCGTTATTTTAAAATTGCAATTTTCCAGCTATTTTGCCAAGTGCACTATAAATAAGTAATTAGTATATTTCAATTTATACATAAATCCAAACTGAATGACTGAGTTCTAAATTATTTTCAAGGCTCTGTGGACAGGATGGAAAAGTACAAGACTTAGGCCTATTATATATTAGGTAAAACATGGACAAAATCACAGTAAGTTTTTAATATGCTCTTACAGAGTAAATTCTGAACTTAAGATTCTAGCAGTTGTATAAACAGAAAAAAAATTTTTTTTTGAGACAAGGTCTTGCTCTGTCTCTCAGGTTGGAGTGCAGTGGCAAGATCTGGGCTCACTGCAACCTCCACTTCCCAGGCTCAGGTGATCCTCCCACCTCAGCCTCCTGAATACCTAGGACCACAGCCACACACTGCCATGTCTGGCAGACTTCTTTGTATTTTTGGTAGAGATGAGGTTTCACCATGTTGGCCAGGCTGGTCTTGAACTCCTGGACTCAAGTGATCCACTTGCCTCAGCCTCCCAAAGTTCAGGGATTACAGTCCTGAGCCACCATACCCAGCCAAGAATTTTTTGATATTTCACCGCAATTTTGTTTTTCTTTATAAAACATTTTATTTTGGGTGTTACTGATTTAAAGTCTTTTATAATGGTTAATAAAGAAACCACAGTTATTGGAATCCACCATTGGCAAGTAACCTCCTAACAATCCTCTGTAGTTAGTTAACAGCCTAAATGAGTAGAGTTTTGAGGAGTTTATTAATGCTCTCATTTCTTTTATTGGTTAAATTATTTTCTCTTTTCTCAAAATTACATAAATGTGTGAAGAATATATATAAAACATAGAAGAACATGGAGTTATACGTACCTTTCAAGTTTTAAAAGAAAAAAATCATGGAGGAAACATACTTTATTGGCTATATAAATAAATATATGATAATTAACTGAGCCCACAAATAGATTTTCATATAAATGTGAATATTTAACTTCTGGCTCTATGTTAATATTTTTATTCTTAAAATTGTACATTACTAGAGATCCAATTAACTAAATATATTTTTAAATGTTTACAACTTCACAATCAGATTCGGCTGTTTTATTAACATCAGACTTTCAGTCAGAAAATCTTGAGATTTAAATAACAAAACTTGTTATATTCCCAAACAGTTATATGAATCATACCAAAATGATCAGAACAACCTACCTGACAGGATTGCTGGTTAAAGAAACCTCAGAAAATCTTGAGGTTTAAATAACAAAACTTGTTATATTCCCAAACAATTATATGAATCATATCAAAATGATCAGAACAACCTACCTGACAGGATTGCTGGTTAAAGAAACCCTGAGGGATTCTAGGCAATTAAGAAGTTTCTCATCTGATATACCCGATCGTAATTCATGCACATATTCTTGTGAAGACAGAGTGCATTCATGTTTGCTGTTTTTCAGCCCACCCTATAAAACAAACAAAGATACCATTTTAGACAATGTTTTAAATTTTTTAAAATAAAATAATGTATAGAATATATATTTTATTACATAAAAATGTGTGCCATCTCAAAATAATAAAAGCTATTTACGACAAACCAACAGCCAATATCATACTGAATGGGCAAAAACTGGAAACATTCCCTTTGAAATCTGGCACTAGAAAAGGATGCCCTCTCTCATCACTCCTATTCAATATAGTACTAGAAGTTCTAGCCAGAGCAATCAGACAAAAAAAAAATAAATAAATAAAGGGTATTCAATTAGGAAAGGAAGAAGTCAAATTGTCTCTATTTGCAGGCGACATGATTTTATATCTAGAAGACCCCATTGTCTCAGCCCAAAATCTCCTGAAACTGATAAGCAACTTCAGCAAAGTCTCAGGATACAAAATCAATATGCAAAAATCACAATCATTCCTATACACCAATAACAGATTTAAAGAGAGCCAAATCAAGAACGAACTGCCATTCTTAATTGCTACAAAGAAAATAAAATACCTAGGAATACAACTAACAAGGAATGTAGAGGACCTCTTCAAGGAGAACTACAAGCCACTGCTCAAAGAAATAAGAGAGGACACAAACAGATGGAGGAACATTCCATGTTTATGGTTAGGAAGAATCAATAGCATGAAAAGGGCCATACAGCCCAAAGTAATTTACAGATTCAATGTTATACCCATCAAGGTACCAACAACCTTCTTCACAGAACTGGAAAAAAATACCTTAAACTTCATATAGAACCAAAAGAGAGCCCACATAGACAAGTCAATTCTAAGCAAAAAGAACAAAGTGGGAGGCATCACACTACTGGACTTCAAACTATACTACAAGGCTACAGTAATCAAAAGAGCATGGTACTGGTCCCAAAACAGAGATATAGACCAATGGAACAGAACAGAGGCCTCGGAGGCAACACAACATATCTACAACCATCCTATCTTTGACAAACCTGACAAAAACAAGCAATGGGGAAAGGATTCCCTGTTTAATAAATGGTGTTGGGAAAACTGGCTAACCATGTGCAGAAAGCAGAAACAGGACCTCTTCCTGTCACCTTATACTAAAATTAACTCCACATGGATTAAAAACTTAAACATAAGACCTAACATCATAAAAACCCTAGAAGAAAATCCAGGCAAAACCATTCAGGACATAGGTGTAGGCAAGGACTTCATGACCAAAACACCAAAAGCATTGGAAACAAAAGCCAAAATAGACAAATGGGACCTAATCAAACCCCACAGCTTCTACACAGCAAAAGAAACAGTCATTAGAGTGAATCAGCAACCAACAGAATGGGAAAAAATGTTTGCAGTCTACCCATCTGACAAAGGGCTGATATCCAGAATTTACAAAGAGCTTAAACAGATTTACAAGAGAAAAACAAACAAGCCCATTCAAAAGTGGGAAAAGGATATGAACAGACACTTTACAAAAGAAGACATACATGAGGCCAACAAACATGAAAAAATGCTCATCATCACTGGTCATTAGAGAAATGTAAATCAAAACTACATTAAGATACCATCTCACACCAGTTAGAATGGCAATCATTAAAAAATCTGGAGACAGCAGATGCTGGAGAGGATGTGGAGAAAGAGAAACACTTTTACACTGTTGGTGGGAGTGTAAATTAGTTCAACCATTGTGGAAGACAGTGTGGCAATTCCTCAAGGACCTAGAAATAGAAATTCCATTTGACCCAGCAATCCCATTACTTGGTATAGATCCAAAGGAAAAACACATGCACACGAATGTTCACTGCAGCACTGTTCACAATAGCAAAGGCCTGGAACCAACCCAAATGCCTATCCATGATAGACTGGACAGGGAAAATGTGGCACATATACACCATGGAATATTATGCAGCCATCAAAAACGCTGAGTTTGTGTCCTTTGTAGGTACATGGATGGACCTGGAAACCATCATTCTCAGCAAACTGACACAAGAACAGAAAATCAAACACTGCATGTTCTCACTCATAGGTGGGTATTGAACAATGAGAACACATGGACACAGGGAGGGGAGCATCACACACTGGGGTCTGTTGGGGGGAAATAGGGGAGGGACAGTGGGGGCTGCGGAGTTGGGGAGAGATAGCATGGGAAGAAATGCCAGATATAGGTGACGCGGAGGAAGGCAGCAAATCACACTGCCATGTGTGTACCTATGCAACAATCTTGGATGTTCTTCACATGTACCCCAAAACCTAAAATGCAATAAAAAAATGTGTGCCAAGTGCTACACTTTAAAAATTATTGATCACAGAATTGACGTGGTAAAATTGTGTTGTCTATATCTCGACATTTTCCTCAACCTAATTAAAAAAAATTACAGTGCTGGTGCTCATGACCTGAATAGGATATGAACTTGAATTACCTAAAGCATCATTGACAGGAGTGCTTAAATTTACAATTCAGGCATTAGAATTAATATTAGCTGGTCCTCCTTAATCCCCAGAGGATAAGCATTCAAAAATCATCTTATTTATTTTTGTAGTTATATATATTCTATTCCACAAAATCCAGCAAATAAAATTTAACATATACCATAATACATAATCCAAATTTATTAAAAGTTATCAGAATATCAGCCTTTCTAAAAAAAAAATTGAAAAGTTATTAAAATGTAAAACAATATAGTCTCCAATTAGCATGCTAATTAATCAAATCAGTCGAAAGCATTCACCAGTTCCCAATTATTCCTTTCTGTTACTCTCAGCTTGTAGATTAATCTTAAAAAGTCATTAAATACATTTATCTGATAGTGACTAGTTTTTAACTTAATTTCCAATATACATAGAGTTATTTCTAGAACTCATCTCACCGCAGCTCCTTAACTTCATCATCTTGCTATAACTATATAAGTAGTTCAGAGAAAAGCTGGGAGAATAACATTGTCAACACATTCACTATACTAATATCTCATAGTTTCACATTCTAGACAAACCTAATCATAACTGCCCCTGTACTATACTATAAATGTATACCCCTGCATTAAGACTCCAGCTTGAGTCCCATTTTACAGGTTCATGCAAATTACACTCAGTTTCTGCTAAGTATCTAAGGACACTTACCCATAAACAAAATAATATCATAAGGATATAATATCATAGGAAATAGTATGAGGAGACCATAAGGAACAGATTTTTTCCCCATTGGATAGAGGTATTATCATTAGAGGATATGGCATTTAAAAAGAAAACAATGTTAATAATGAGAAATTAATTCCCTACGGTTTCACACTATTTGGGTTTTTATTGAGAATGTCTTCTCAATGTAGAAATTGTTAATCATTCTTAATTTCTGAATTTTAAAAATGCCATTAAATACTAAAATTTTAAAGTGTGATAAAGACTTATAACATATGGGGAACTCTATTCCCTTAGTGCTGTGGCAATATTATCATTATTATAGCACTTAGAATATTGTGGTAGAGGTCATTATTTGTGTCTGTCTCACTTCTACATTGGAAACTCCATCTATGACACATAACTGACACAGTTCATGAATTTAGTGAGCCTCAATAAAAGTGTGCTATTATTGAATCTCTCCATAATAACTGCAGAACAAGGAATATGATTTCATACTTTTAGCTCCCATATTTTGAATAATGGCCACTGACTTGATATTTCTTGCTTTGCTATAAGATACAGTAGATGTTAAAAATATACTGGATGGGCCAGGCACAGTGGCTTATGCCTGGAATCTCAGCACTTTGGGAGGCTGAGGCAGGTGAATCACTTGAGGTCAGGGTTTCAAATCCAGCCTAGCCAACGTGGTGAAACTCTGTCTCTACTAAAAACATAAAAATTAGCCAGGCATGGTGGCACATGCCTATAATCCCAGCAACTTGGGAGACTGAGACACGGGAATCAGTTGAACCCGGGAGGCAGAGGTTGCAATGAGCTGAGATCCCGCCACAGCACTCCGGCCTGAGTCACAGAGCAAGACTTTGTCTCCCTGCTAAATAAAAAAATGTACTGGATGAATCATCACCACCTAAATGGCATAGTAAGTAAAGCTATCACTGAGAGATCATGTCTACTTTCCTGTAATTTCCTTACCCATCTATTATTCCACAAGGAATAACAGCAAGTAAATATTTAAAGCATAACTTTGCAAATTCAAAATTATAGTTTTATTTTTGCTCGGCCAACTCACTTTCTACAACAATACAAATTTCTTCAGTAACAAGGGACCTATTTACTATATGTATCGGTCTGAAAACTATGAGTAAAAGGAATAAAAATTTCAAGTCTGTAGTCATATACTCCTCAAAGTTATTTTTAAATTAATATATAAAAAGACACTACTGATCTTTAACCCTGTTGAGAGACCTTTGAATTTTACAGTTTTCTCTCTGCCTTGAAGACTCTTACCCCAATCTCTCCATTGCTGGCTCCCATCATTTTAATCTCAGCCCCACAGTCTTCTCCCCATCCCCATTCTAGTTATCATTGCAACGTCATTTTAAATATCATTTACAGTATTACCTCTATAAAAATTTATTTTGGTAATTTAGTTGTTTACTACCTTTCACACTAAAACATAAGCTCTTATAAAACAGGATTCTTGCCTGCCTTATATCCTCAGATCTTAAGACAGTGTTTAATGACTCAATACATATTTCCTGAATGAATGGATAGATGGATGGATGGAGAATAAACAAAGAGGAGTGAGTGATGAGTTTCAACATGCTAAAGATTCTAAGATTATCTTTGCTTCAGAATATTCTAATTCTGAGACTTTCAGTTATAATATATTCAGAGATGATGAATATAAAACAGGTAAACTGAGATACTGTATGGCATGCTGAGGACAGCTCAGATTTTATGACCTGGTTTGAATTATGGCCCCAGTCATTTACCTTCTAGTAAGCTCTGGGTGAGCAATTAACTAATCTCTGTAAACCTGTTTGTTCATCCATAACAAAGGGGAAATACAATACCTACCCTTCAT